TAAGTGAGACAAAAGCAAAAGAAGGGAGACAAGACGGACACAATGATGCAAAGTTTGGAGACAAGATCGGAGACAAAGAAGGAATGGAGACAAGGCGGACACAATGACCAACAAGAAGGGAGACAAGAAGGAAGACAAAAGGAGACAGGGCCAGCGGAAAAGGGTGCACACCAGCAGTGACAGACTTGGGAGACAAATGAATAGAAAGGCTACATGGCAAGCGGCGGACACCACCAGTGACAGACCTAGGAAACAAATCAATAGAAATGTCGCATCGCCAGCGGAAAAGGGCGGACACCACCAGTGACAGACCTGGGAGACAAGTGAATAGATGCTACATGGCCAACGGAAAAGGGCGGACACCAGCAGTGGGAGACAAGGATGAATAGAAATGCTACATGGCCAACGGAAAAGGGCGGACACCAGCAGTGGGAGACAAAAATGAATAGAAATGCTACATAGCCAACGGAAAAGGGCGGACACCAGCAGTGACAGACCTGGGAGACAAATGAATAGAAATAAGGGCGGACACCAGCAGTGACACAAAAAGGACACTGAGAACCCCGAACAGTAAACTGTTTGGGGAACAAAGGAAACAGGCTCAAAAGAGGCTGGCTGTGCCTTGTCATCAAAATTGCGTTCTAGCACCTGCCTCGTAAAGCGCCGTGCGCACGTACCATGGAACCACCTGGAGTAAGACGAGGCTGCTACCAACTGATTAACATACTTTTTTGGGCTGAGGTTGCAACGCGTGCCCATTGCCTCTTCTTCGTCTTGCTGCGAAGAGTGATCCCCGGGACCTTCCACAAGCAAGCCAAAGTCTAAGCTATCAATTCAATAAACAAGCTAGCAAGTTCAACACTCAGTGCCTGGACGCCGGACTGTTGCCAATCCAGCGTCGTCTGTCGAGCACGTCGGCAACTTTCCTCCCAAAACCGTCTAACTTTATTCCCCAGTGTCCATACAAAAATGACTAAAACATCAAATTTCCAAATTCGGCCTCAAACTCAAACCACAAAGTGCCCAGCCTCGGTACCAAACATCTGCGCGAGTTCCAACCATCAGACGAACGACCTATCTATCTATCTGTCGTTTTTCCAGGCCTGACCCGAAGCCTCGCCTCCAAGGTCCACATCTCATCGTCGGAAATGTCGCACCAAACCAACGCCATAGCGACGAAAAAAGACTGAACAGAGAAGGCGTGTGACGAGAAAGAAAATCTTTGGAAAATAGTGCAAATGTGTTGCAGTACTAGTGGTGTGCCTCTGTGGACATGTGTGTGTTGGAATGTGTGTGTGAGTGAGTGATGCGTGCCGTGGGCGTGCATGTGGTTGAGTCACGTCTGTTTCCTTTTGTCTCCCTTTTTGTCTCCCTTCTTGTTGGTCATTGTGTTTGCCTTGTCTTCCTTCTTGTCTCTCTTTGTTTCTGGTCTTGTCTCCGTTCTTGTGGGTCACTGTGTCTGCCTTTTGTCGCCTTAGTTGAGTTTTTTCTTGTTGCTACAAGCATCTCCCATGGCATGCCTTTCCTTGTCGGTCATTGTGTCCGTCTTGTCTCCCTTTTTTCCTTGTGTCTGCCTTCTTGCCTGAGGGAGAGGGAGAGGGAGAGGGAGTTGGAGAGGGAGAGGGAGAGGGAGAGGGGGAGGGAGAGAGTCCAGGGCCGTGTGGTTGTGATTGTTGATGTGGCGATTTTGTAGCGACCCGCAACCAAAGAAAAAGAGATTGCCGCCTGAGACCAACCTGTTTTTTCGCGGCTCGTTTTTTTTCGAAGTGACGCCAGGAGACTTAGCAATAAGAAGATGACATGCCAAACACGAGAATAGAAGAGGTGCCTTGGCACGAGCCCGTCCTTCAGAAACAAGAAAACGTAAAACATATATTGCAAGCGTTCTTTCTAGACTAAGTATATGGACAAAAAAGGAACGTCTATGCGTAAAGTGATCGGTTCCCTTCAGATTCCGTTCCCAAGCTGGCCCTTACTTCAGGGGTGAATGGTCTCAGAGACCCGGAAGTGCATCGGGTTTCGGATGGTTTCGGTACGTTCTGGGGATGGGTTCTGAACATATAGAACTACAGGAGTTCGGGGTGATGAATGGATAGAGCCTTAGGGGTGCCCATTGAAAGTCACTTTGGGCCTGAAAACAAACTGTTTGGAACTCCAGGTAGTTGGGTTTCCAAAACCTACAAGCGAAAAGTGACATGGAAACACACCTTTGTCAGGAGAGGTTGGAGTCCATTTCCCCAAACCCACCAGGAGTTTTGGTGACTTTCGTCGGAAAGGCAGGAGAACTCCACAGGGATCGTCAAATACCTTTAAAACATTTTGGATCCTCCAAACCCACTCAGTTCACTGCACCACGTTCTCTGGTTCCAGCTGCAACGCCACGGTGGCGGTGGCGGAGTGGATACAGCGGTTGGTGTTTTAGGACACATACATTGAAAAAATATGCTGTTGCATCTCCCTTTTGTTGGTTTTCCTGCCAACTGATTCCAGCGAAACATCGGCAACATGGCTTGGCTCCGCTTCCCGCCCACGCCAAGCTTGCGCGCCCGGTGCCAGTCGAACTCCGGGGTCAGCCAGTTGGACATCTTCGCGGAAGCGCAGCGGGCAGCAGCCCAGGCAGAGTGGGGCCTTTTGGCAGAAACAGAAGGTATGGGAAGGTACGGAGGTCGTTCGAAAAGTCTCGGAAACCAGGGTTTCGGGTTTTCACTCTGAAAACTTGGTTTTGGTTGGTCGCAGAGTCTAATAAAATATGTTATAGTATAAGATATACTACAGTAATATACTTTGTATAACGTATACATTCTGACTCATGAATTATTCTGTGATGTATAATATACACATGCACTTTTTTGTTGATTTTGGTGGACTGGTCGGGATTGAGACTGACAGGGGATGGTGCATGGGATTGAGACTGAGACGGCTTGGGGCTGAACATGTGTTTGACTCGTTTGACTTCCCTTTGGGGAACCCCTTTGAGGTCAAGTCGGAATTCTTGTTGACCTGTTTGGGGAAGCACTTTCTCAATTAGATGTGCATCATCACTGTACGTGTGGGATCTTTCCAAGTGCAAGCGTTCATCATGTCTCCTGGATAAGATTGTACGCCGAGAGCCATGAGATCGAATCCACAAAAGAAGTAGGGATGAGATCGCCTACTTCTTTGGTTCGAATTTTCCTGATCTTGAAGCCCCTTTCACGCTGGTTCTCAGCCACTTTCTGGACATCAAGGCCCTGTGGATTTCTAGCCGCTAGAATCGCGGAAAGCTGGTAAGCCTGGCATGCTGATCCACCAGGAGTTTATTGCGTTGCCACCTGATCACGGTGGTGGGTCCCTGATCGCCAAACCGTTTTTTCGGTGAGAGAGTGAGGCAAAGACCGTCGCACTGGACCGTAGCATGAAAGAGCGTCGGAGAATCTGAGTCAGCGAGACAAAGCATCCAACCTGGTCCATTTGCATCCGAAGAGCGAAGATTAAGATTCGAGGCATGACTATGTGGACAAGGTGCACATGGAATCACATGGAAAGTTGAATTGTATACCAAACAGATTGATACATGATCATCATCCAAACTCATCTCTCGTTCATGTGCTGGGGGCATTGACGCCCAATGGAGAGCCAACTGTGGGGAGACTCGAAGGGGTCTTGCTCGTGACGAGAAAAGGCTGGTATATGTGGGCGTCTCTGAATAAGACCCTCCAAGGAAAAAGGACAAATGGATTAAAACCTATTGGAAATTGGTTGGAGGTCTCCCTGTTGAAATACAAGCTTAATCAATATGTGTGCGACAGGTGTGGGTCAAAGCCTAATTGCCCCCTACATGATGTTTGTGCGCAAGGGCGGTCACGTCACCTCCCCTAAAGCATGGTAGCTTGACCACCAGGGGTCGTTGGTTCGCCATGGCTGGGGAGAATTGGTCTAGTGGCAGGAATTTGGACACATCCGTTGCACAAGATTTTGGTCTCAGGCTTCCTTTGGATAATCGGAGAAGATGCACCTGAAGAAAAACGGGAATCGAATGATTCAAGAGCTTCTGGCCAAAGTGCAGACGTCAAAGTGATTTCAATGAAGTATCCTTGGAGTTCAATTGTACTTTAGAAGGGGATAGAGAGCTTCTAATAGAGATTATGCACGGGGTTAGTTGTTCGTGTTCTACCCTACAAAGAAGCAAAACTCACTTTCTCACCCCAAACGTGCCATCCCTCTTTGCTTTTGGGAAGATTGGCGGACCCTGTGGGTTGTTTTGGTAAACTGAGGAAGGTGGATCCATAGGACAGACCCCAGTTGTGTTTGGACCAAAGGTTGATGCTGGTATGATTGACCCTCAGACTCTTAGACTCAACAAAAATGCCTTGACTTCCTAAAGTTTTCCACGAACGCCCGGCAAACGTCGCACGCGTCGCCCTTCGGCTTGCATGCTTGCCCTTTTTTGTGCGTCGCCTTGCATGCTTTCGCTGTGCCAAGGGCGCTTGGGACCGAGGCAGTTGAGGAGTTAGACGCCGCCTTTTTGTTTTCCCGTGCGAGTTGATCTGAAGAATTCCAAGTCCCTCAGAGTTGGACCGTTTTTGCAATGAAAACAATGAAACACGGACTATCACGGACTATTCGGTTTCTTGCTTCACTTCGGATGGAAGCTTACAGCACATACCCAGATGCCATGTAGCAGGCACTCCATGTTTTCTTCTCGGTGGCTCAAGCTAATCCCGGAGCAAGAAAAAGGGTGTTTGCAGAGTGCAAGATTCAGGTCAGGTCTCAGCCAAGAAAGCCTAAATCTACTAGGAATTCGAGCATGCCTTGTGCATGCTTTTGTCACGCCGGAAGCAAACTGAAGAAGATGTGCGATTTCAAGAGACACACACACAAACAGATACACTAAGATCTCTTCGCCACGTTGTTTGCATTCAACGGAATCCCAATCTCCCCAAACCGGCCACATCAAAGAACATGGAAGGCGTTCCACTACTTCACAGCGTAGGATCCAACGTCGACCCTCACCCAGTGCCATGTCGGGCTCCTCCCCGGGCATCAGCCCGGGGTTGGGCTTGTCGTTCTCTCCGCAAGTGGCCGCGGATGGGAGCCGGCGGTCGGACCGGCGCTTGTCGGAGGACGGTCGAACGAGTCAACCTGTCGGTGGATGAAGAAAAAAGGGCCGTCGACGAATGGAAGAGGTTTTACATGGTTTTACAATCCAAATGGGGGAGTTCATGATGTTCATGAATCATCGATCAAGAGTCTACATTGCCCTATTCTAACACAATATTGTAATGACTCTTGGAGATGGATTGGTGGGGCGATGTCAAGAGGGCTCACAGGCCCCATCCATGACGCACTGGTCTGTCAGCTGATGCTCTGCCGGGCTGGACCAAGGCAGAGCAAGAGGATGAACATGAATTGTGCTTCCACAGTATTTAGCTGATGATGCGGATGGTACCTAGACACCCACAAGTTTTCCCTATCCGGTGGAACAATGACCAGATATTACCAGTCGATTTGCCGTCTAAAGAAGGCACCTGGAGCTGTTCAGACCTTTTGTTGAATTGCGGTTCAAAACTGACGTCTATTGACTTTTAAAGTTGGGAAATCCTGATCCATACATATATATATGTTTTGTCCACTCCCATAGCCATAGTACTATGACTTCGAGCAGACCACACGTTTGTAGTTCCCGAGATGTTCATTGATCCAACCACTGCACCGAAGGGAGCGTCTGGAGAGGTCACTCGGGAGATTTGAAACGGCTTAAGCAGCTGAACAAAAGGCTCGCCGCCCCCAGGTGCTCCTGAAGTATGATTGGATAAGAATCTTCACCATATTTGTGGTGAACAAAGCCCACGGATTTTCGCGGAAAGGACATCCTCCGCGGCGGCTCCATTCTTTCGGTGGAAGAGGTGGATGAGGAGAGACTCGAAAATCGAGCGGTGACCGGTGGCCTCCAGCCATGTTGATTTTGGTCCAACTCCCGAAAAGAAACTAAGAGACCGCGGGTGAATCAGAGGATTAGAAGGTGTGTTTCTGAAGGTGACGGATTTTGCCTTTTATCATGAACGTGACGGACATTCGATCAGACCCCCATAGTGAACATGGTTGTTTGGCGAAGAGATGATAGATTTGATAGAGATTAGGCGAGTTTCTTAGAAGTGCATAGTTCAGGCTTTGGGTGAATGTTGCAGGGTTGTGTTCAGTCTTGTTGACTTTATTTGTCTACTCTGTAACAATCCAGAACTCTTCAATGTCAAAACTGCAGATATATGAATCATTCGAAGCGCACAGCAGTGTGCAGGACCGCTTTCGGAGGATGACGGACTTGCCGAACATGTCCGATATCCACGCAACTCGTTTGGTGAGACGCAAAACCGTCGATCCAGAGAGGAGTGACCCATGGGACCTGCGAGTGACTGACAAAAAACGTCGGTTTGGAGGCCGTGTCCTGCAAGACCTTGAAATGCAAAGGGCCGTGGTTTGGGTTCCCTAAACAGGGACAGCAAGAAGCTTTACCAGGACTTTGCCAGCACGTTGGCATTGGTGACCTGTTTGAGGATGCCAGGAAGTCTACGGTGCAAGCTGTCTGTCTTTGCTCGGGGCACGTGACACGTGCCGATGACTTCGTAGCAAAGTTCTTATCATACCCAGACACTCCAAGTATGCCATGTATATGATCGCTAGATTGGGGTGGTTTTGAGGGTCCATATATATATATATATGGCAGTCCCATGGGTCAGTGTCTGGGCCACGAGACCCACGAATCGCCCGATTTCGACCCGTGTCTGGGCACCCGTGAAACGGGACGGGACCCACCGAATCAGATGCCCAAAAAGCAACCGATACTCGTGGCACAGAGGTGGAGGACATGTTCATCGGTAAAACTCACTTGCTAAATTCTGGTTTATGTTTTTTTGGGGGGGGAGTGTCTCTTGCTTTAAAGTTAGCTTATCGTGATCGATCGGATCTTTGTCGCGGTGGTGAACTGATTGCGACCATTACGGCACAATGCAAGGGAAGAGCAGACATCTGCAGGGTGTGCTTTTTCTGGAAATAAGACCGCAGACAGCCAGCTGGCCAAAGCGACGGATTATATTACGTATGATATATGCTATAATGCACTCTGTTTCAAATAACAGAATATGTTTGAACGTCGTGGTACAGCCAGGGTACACGTCTTCCATCGTTCTATTGTTTTGGCTGATGATGCTGATGCAGACAACACAGTGATATATGGTTATATTCTTGACACAAGAAACGTGTAGGGCCTTTGCTCAAAGGGGATGATGCACACCTGTGGTTTAAATATGTTGGATTGTCTCCACGGGATGATGAGCACAGTCTTTGGCAAGACTTGTAAGATTAGAATAAATGTTCTGGTTGCTTACAACTAAAAGGTTTGTTGCCCCAACCCCCAAACAAATTACCCTGCGATTTTGCAACACAGCTGAAGTTCCAGATTGTGGGTCACGGCATCCCTTTGGCGGACTGAGGGTACAGGTTTGAACGAACCAGTAGCTTGCCGTCAATTGATCCGATTTGGATGCGCACAGTGAGGACCGAATCCACCCCATTTCGGGCGCACCTTGGACATCGGACATCGTTGCATCGATGATGTGTCGATTCTTTACTCCAACGGTCACAGCATGTTAACAGCCATTGGCCCCCGCATACCGTGGCGTACCGTGCTGTGCCACATGCCCTGCCATGCCTCGTGCGAGGCCTGGATGCAGCAGATGCAATTGAGCATGAAGAGGATCGAATCGCCACCCGGGCAGAAGGATGGCGATCGCCATCATCGCTGGGATGGCGACCTTTTGAGGGTCGTTTTCAATGAGACAAGAGCCACTTCTGATCATGTCGATCAGGTCTGAGGTCGGTCGATTCCGAAACAGACCGCGCGCGAAAGCATCGTGGATGTTGAAACATGACCCACATGAAACATCGTGAGACATCCTGGTGACCAAAAGGCTGCCAACTCAATGGAGAATGGGAGCCACTGCATTCGGGAACATTTCAATCTGAAGGTCCACCTACTTATTGGACAATGAGGATCACTTGTTCCTCAAGAAGCAGTTTCAGTCTCATGTTGCATGCAGATTCATACACCCATATACACCCCCCTCTCAAACACGGATGTCACCATCCGCTCCGGTTTGGTCGTGGATCGGCAGCTACATGGCTTCTGCAGCTGCGGCTGTCGCTACCATGAAAATGCGGGCCCTCCAAGGGAAAGGGTTTGCTTCGGGTCACCCCTGCGACGAGGTCGTGTTGATTGCCGGGCTAAACAATGCTGAGGTCGTTGTCCTCACAGCATGACATCATGGAGGATGTCCGCTCCAAGGTGGGATGGGTGCATGCTCCAGGGCCCCTCAGGGTGCAGGGCGTCATGACAGTGGGTCAACGAACGAGGCAAGTGCGACGAGAAGCAAAAGATGCCTCAACGAGCAAACAAGAGCTTGCACTGGAATCACTGGAATGAGAAACAAAGTACAGTGAATTAGTGATAAAAAGGGAGTATAGAGGTGAGCATTTTGCGTCATCGACATGCATCAATGTATCTCAGGTCACTCATTCCCCCAAATCGCCAGAAGAAGGAGTCAAAAACTGCACTCCAGTCAGGAAAGGCTGACTGGCCAAAAAACAAAACAAAAGCAACAAATTGTGAAGTCTTACTCCTGCGGAGCCTCCTACTTCAGGTTTCTTTGCGCAGTACTAGTACTGTTTTTGGTTTTGGTTGGTGTATTATATTTTGGATTTTTCCATGGAACTGGGGAGGACTAATGAAACTTTCTTGTGCGGTTCCATTCGGAGGATGTGTTTTAAAAGCCCCAAAGCAGCCCATAGGCCAAAGTTTGAATGAGCGTGGATTGGGTTGCCCATGGTTGCCCTGTTTTCTTTTTCCGACACTTGGTTTGGATGAAGCATGACTTAAGCTGATGAAGTTCTACAGCATCAATCCACGTCATGCTGTTACTGTTCCGCCCCCTGCGCTACGCAGGTGTGGGCCTTGTCCAAAGGAAAGTCCTTCGGGAAGCCCATCTCCCGAAAGAACTCCCCCGACCCGGCGACGGCGTCCTCGCCCTCCAAAACCCTCAGCAGTTGCTGGGCCAAATCAGCAATCCGGGGCGATCGCAACTGGGGCGTCAGATATGTGACATGATTTATCAGCAATCCATCATGATTCATGCGCAATTCATGTGTGCCAGAATGCGTGCGTTGTGCAATGCTGCTTTTTATATTCTGTCATTGTTTGTTTTTACTTTTCAGAACTCTTTGACCTGCATCCAATCACATTCTCCAGCCATATCATTTTTGGGGCCGGCTGATGAAATAGGAGTCTTCTCATCTCAAGGCAAGGTTAAGTAAATCTACATTAAAGGTTTCACATACGGCGCTCTTTTGTCACTTGGCCAATACTTTCTGTTAAGCTCTCATGCCCACACTATAGCTTAAACCATGCAGCCAACACTGGTCACTGAGCCACGGCCTCTTCCATCCGTCGGCATCCGAGGTTTGGGTGTGAAGCCCACACACAGCCGTGCGCGGGCAGAGAGTGGCAGCGATTTTCAGGTGCCCCGTGCAGCATGTTCAGGTGACTTCAGTATACTTGAATGAATGGTGAGAAAAGGCAAGGCTGGAGTGATTCATCTCGGAAGTACCTGTCAACCTGGGTTTGTGGGGTACTTGATGTTGACTGTTCAGTAAACACATGGAATTACCCACCATGAAGATGTTTGACAAATCTTTACGCAGGCTTCACGGTGGGTTGAACATCAACATCAGTGTTTTCACATTTGAATCGATGTCGAAGACGCTGCAGACGCCATCGTTGGATCGAACTCATGCAACTTCACCAGCCGAGTCAGAGCCCATGAACTGTTGCATTTTTTAAAAACTGCATAGTTTCCCGGGAGGATGAACATTCTGAAAGAGCAGGACTTTATCAATGACACAAATTTCCGAGGTTTTCTGGTGTTGTATCACAGAGCCCCTTAAGAAGCACATCATGACATCATGCACGCTCACTGACCCACTGTTGGCAAAGTTGTCACAATATCTAAGTTAGGTCAGTACTTTCTTTTTTGTCCCAAGTAACTTCTGAGCCTGGATCGCGCATATACACTCCATCTATGCTATATATGCCTATACATTGACCCTATGCTATAGATGCCTGTAATACATTGATCCCTGAAACCACCCCAAGTGTAGGTTTTTATTAGATATAATTAGTATTTAAATATGTCATACATGGAGCGTTTGGGCAAGTGCGAGTCTTTTTCCTTTCCATGAATAATGCTTCTTGGCACTAGGTACTGAGTGTATGTAATCCTCATTGCAGGGCGCGGCAGTGGTTGGGTGGTTGATCTAAACATCTTTGTCCGGCCAAACGATGTGCAACACACTTTGGCAGACAAGGATTTTGAATGTGTTGTTTTCCAGTTTTGTTGGAATTCTACTATGATCTATATTATATATATACACATAAGCATATACATTAAATAACCAATAGTTTAGAATGAATGAATCTGGAACTGTTTGAAAGGCCTTTGGACCTCTTGGGATCCGGTCATGGGCTGCCAGGGCCCATGGGGACCTGAGGTATTCCCCACCTCAGTAGGTCGATTCTGGGGGCAAAATGCTTAAAGGCGAAAAAGCCTTACCATCCGATGACATGAACAACAACCATCCCAACGGCTTTTAGCAGGCTGCACGAGAAAAACACAAAAAACAACGCGCGTCCCGCGCCCGCGCGGTTTGTTTTTTGTTTTTTTTTCAGCAGAGGAAGCCAGCTCGTAGTCTCCGATTCGATCGAGTGCTTTGAGGATGGTTTGGAAAGAGTTTGGGCTGTTCTTCAATGGCGTGGGGCCTTTCTCCACAGGCCCCTAGAGTCCAGCCTTTGGGTCCCTGCAACCACCGGTTGGAAAGCACCGCGCGCAAGCAACTGAATGGGAGCGAATGAGTTTGCGCCAGGGACCTGTGCCCTCGATGCTGACGAATTCACTGGTGACTTGGAGATGGTGACCCAGGGTGGTCAATTGGTGGTCAGAAAAAGGGCCCAATGATCCAAACTGGATGGGTCCAAGATGCATGTTAAACCCTCCAGGGAAGATCTAAAACATGTTCCGGCCAGTGGTGGCCCTGGTCTTGGTCAGGAAAACCTAACATGGTTGAGTCAAAGCATAGATCAGGAACGATGAGGGACCATGTTTGTACAATCAGAGGAAAGTAGTCTCCAGGCAGGGGTCATGCCGGAAAGCAAGTTGAAATCTTTGAATGCCTCCAGGCGACTCCATGTGATTGGGACTGATTCTAATGAGAGGACTTCCATGGTTTAAGTCGATAAATTATCTATTATCTATCAGCTTTCTTTGATTCTTCGACCCCTAGAATCATGTTCTTTTTGAGTATTGGTAACCACTCCTACCCTTTGACTCTGAGCTTTGGGGAGATCCGTAGGGTTGTCCGTAGGGCCCGTAGGCTCCTAGACCAGTCTCTCGGTACTTGACGCTCAGGAAGAGGCGCCCTCAGTGCCCGGCCAGGCTTCAACGCCTTTGCAAGGTGCGGACAAACGGCCGTTTCAACGTCATTCAAGAATCATCAAGAATCGAGTTCAATCAAGTTCAGGGTTTCACTGTCTTTCGTGCGGCATCGAGCCTTCTCATCTGTGAGGCGGTTCCATGGTGCCTGGGAGGGACCTGAGCGTGGATGAGGTACACAGTAGAGAACAACCGCATTTCTCCACCAAGTCCTTGGGCGTCAGCAACTATGGCTACCGGGAGAAGGCGCGAGCGCCAACCACTTTACGGTTGGCCGAAGTTGTGGTTTCAAAGTTGGAAACAAATATATATATATAGTTATATATATAACTATTTACAGGGGAAATGTGTATATACACAAAGTCTAACATGTCCGCTTCTTATGTATAGAAGGACAAGGGAAAAACAACGCACATGTTCAATGATAGAAGGCCCTGTCGGCCCTGTCTGACCGTTGATGACGTTCAACGTAAAACATTGGGAGGACCAATCAACATGCATGATCATGCATGTGAGCTCATGTCGCCAATTTGGGCCTTTACGAGAACTCTGCTTTGTGGTTGCCACATGATTGGTTGTTTGATGTTGTTTGAGGAGAGATAGCGGTGAAATCAGCTACTTACAAAGAATCACCGGGCCTGGGCGGCCCCGGGGCCAAGATAAGCATACCCTACATGGCTAGTCATGCCTGTGCCAGTTCTACTTGAACACCTTTGAACAATTTGTTTGAATCAAAGCCCGCTTGAACTCGGTTTTTCGGAGTTTGGCAAACTCAGAAGCTCGAAGAGGGAAATTCAAACGAACGGTTTGGTTTATCAGGTGTTGCTGGAATTCAGTGTTGACCATGTGAAAACGGTTTCACAACTCAGTAACACGTTGATGGAAGCTCTAGGGCTTAGTACCTGCACGCAACTGATTAGAATGCTTGGGAATCCCGGAAAACGTTTCGGTATTAGATTGGCTTCTTGGGTTGTTTGGCCTTCGAGCCGGTTTTGCTCGTTCTTTTCCCACCTTGTGGTTTGCTCAAAACAAAGCGACCTCTCTGCTTTGAACTCCCCTGAGGCCAGCAGCTCCACCCGGCGGAAGAGCGATCCAGGGGACCTCTCTGAACGCGACCGGCAGGAAAGGGAACCCAAGACCTCCCTGAGCGGATTCGACAAGGGACGGCTGAACTTCCTGCGAAGCTCGAACGAATGGGATTGGTTCAGGTGACCTGAAACAGACTTTGAGGTCCCGGTTAGGGTTTCATATATCAAGACACCTCCCGAACTAAGTAATGGCCTTGTCATATGCAACTCGGGCGAAAGCAAAACCCGAAAAGCCAAAGCCTAAGGTTGCATAAGGGAGTTGTGAAATATGCATGTTGTGTAACCTTTGCATAGGGTTGTATTTCCACACGTATATTCCCACCACACACCTCCCCGTCAAGAAAGGAAGCTTTAGGGATCACGAGAGCTTTGAAACCCTTGGGAGCTGGCATTTGTATGCACTATGGCACTATGTTTCAGGTAAGTAGCAAAGGGTGCACTGGTTTCAGGTAATATGATGGTTCTCATGTGTGTTCAACGCAGATGCGCAAGGTCTTCTCCAAAGTCCGTCGAGTGTGGTCGCTCACAGTGTGGTCGCGTCCAAAACGCTGCGTAAGACATGCAGGAGCGTTTCAGCAGGTTATTACGACATTACATCGGGGGGGGTGAATAATCTACGTACATCTTTTGCAAAGCTCATTTCAAACCATGAAGGGCCACCGGTTGTTTTCCATTGTGGACAAGGGCCACACCGGGGCCACCATGTGAACGTCGCCAGCTGGTTGGTCCTGCAACGCGCAGCGCCGAGGAACGAAAAGCCGAAAAGCTACGCAATCGCAGTATGGTGTGATGGATGAGTTGGAGGCGACTTGGTTTTTGTGTTGTTGCGAAGAATCCAGTAGTAGACGAAGCCCACTGGATTGCGAAGGTGATAGAACACCACAAACGAATTGGGGACGAAACGAGTCGTCGCGGCCGCATACCTTTCGGCAAGCTTGAGCCCTCCCTCTGGAAGGCATGAAGTCGTTTCGAGTGAACATGAACCGTTTCCCGCCAAATGCACAGCGTGCATTTCACACAGGCGGTGGTTCTTTTGGGAAAAACAAATGAACAGGCCTTTCAAAAACCCGCCACATCGGCGAGCCAGGCGCTCACTTCAGCTCGGGCTGTGGTTCCGCCGAGCTGCAGGAAAGAACTTCCAACTACAACACTTCCTTTGTCTACAGGTGAGTGTCGGTTGGCACAATAGCTACACCCTCTCACGAGCATGCGATTCCTTGGAACCATTTGTTCCACCAAGTGGCAATCCTCTCGATGCCAGCATTGGCCCTGCTTGGAAACCATGACGTCGATGGCATGGGGACATGTTTGCCAATGGTCGTCTAGCATATCCAAGAGGCGGCGCATCAGGACTGCACCATCTTTGGCCAAAGCCTTGTAGCCCTCGTTTTCCTCGATCAAGTGGTTGTTCTCAGCTTGGGCTAGGCTCATACCACGGCGTGCCTCTAAACAGGCTCGCAGGTGGTTGTGGTTCTCTTCTTTCTCACGGGCTAGTAGCTCACGCAGTCGATGGTGAACCAAAGCCTCATCTTTCTGCACTCCCACATGGGCGAATGTCGCCCGGCGCCTGTAGCACAGCCACAGGCAGAGGTGCCCCGCCATGAGGATCAGCGCAATCCCCATGAACAGCAAACCAAGGTCCTCCGTGTGCTCCGAGTGGTCGGTGCCATTGCTCCAACACATGTCTGAGCTTGCTCGGCATGAGTTCACCATCATGAACAACATGAACCAAAACAGGACATTCTTCATGCGACTCTGGTTGACATTGGAGCTGCGGTGTGCGACATGGCTAGTGGCGTACACATACACAAGAGGGAGGTGATTCGCAACAAACAGGGCATTCTCTTCGGGGTCACCGTGGACATACTCATCAACCTCCTCATTGACCAGGGGAACTCATTTTCATCATGCTCACAACGTGTACCTTCAGCTACAGGTTCCTTGGGCCCAGCATCCTTGGCAGTGGTTTCCGCCAAAGCTGACAGCTTTTCATTCTTTGTCTTCTTCTTCATGGCGGTGTAGCTCGGATCCCAGGTGAGTTTGATGCGGTGGTGCCTCAATCGTGTGACGAAGAGACCTCTGGCGGCCTCTTTGGTGAGACCGTCGGCGATCTGTCGGTCAGAGCTCATCCACTTGAGAAGCCCACCGAGTTCTTGAAGCCTCTCTTTCATGACCCTGATTTCCAGGCTGACTCGCTTGTCAACAACCGCGGAACTTGTGGCTTCTCGATGGTATGCATCATACAATGCCTTGGCGTCCGTCACCATGACAGGGCGAAGGGACGATTGGATTTCCATCAAGTTCTTGAGGGGCAGGTCAGGCTCAAGGAGGTGGTGCCAATACCTGCAAACGAAGTCTGTGGCGTCGCTCGCCTGTCCACCAGCTTGTGCCTCCGCTCCAAGAGAAGAGCGTGCCACCCTGGGAGTCTTGAAGCTCTTCCAGTCCAGGATGTGATAGAAATCCTCATCATCAGACTTCATCAACTTATCGTTGACCATCATCAACACATAGCCGCCTTGAGAGCTGCCGTCATTCCTGGTCGAAAAGCCAGCATCAAAGAAACACAGCAGCCTCAGTTCCGAAGGGTGGCCAATGTGTCGGTACTGCAGGCCAACGTCCTTGTTGTCCTTGGCGAACTTGAGGAGTCGATTGCAATCCAAAACGGTCTGTACCGTGGCCTTGGAGATCTGGCCGGCGAGTAGGGACGTGCTGCACTGTAGGTGTGGAGCCGTCTGCACAGCAGGCCATTGCAAAGAGCCCAGTAACCCACGTAGTTGGGTGATCTCACGCTCCTTCAACAGTTCTGCTGGAGAGCGCTTCTTGTCCATCGCGATGGGCTTGACCTTCTCCATATACTTTGTCTGATAGAGACAAGTGCCGCCCTCATCCAGTTTCTCGAGCTCGCAGCCGCAGTACTCCAAGATCTTCTGATCTTCCTTCCACTCCCTGAAGGAGAAGTTGGACTTGAGCTGTTCCACCACGGCCTGGTAGCGAGGACTTTTCAGGCATCCGGCACCGAGAAGATCATCGACATGCATGATGACCATGCCCACGAGGCGTCTTTCTCCCAAGCCGCTCACTTCAGTGTGCACGGGATCGGCCGGGTCGTAGTGCTCGTCGTCCAGCTCGTAGATCAGGAAGGCGCAAGGGTCCAGTGCATGCTGCTTCAAGCCTCCTCGTTTCAGTCGAGACACAGCTTCCAAGAACCATCCACGAGGAGCGTCAATCTGTCCATAGCAAGGCTTCAGCAAGAGCATGCGAGTGTTCTCGTCACCGCCCAGCAATGAGAGTGCCTCGGCCGGTAACTTTACCCAGAGTTTGCGATCTTGTTCACGGCCTTGCAGGAAAGCGGTGCTGACGTCAGCGGTCCAAGTGGACCAGCCCATAGTCGCAGCCAGGGAGAGCACCATAGAGCGAGACAACCTCGTAGTCGTTGGACTGGAGGTCTCAATCTTTCCGGCTAGAGCATCCGGGTCGGCGAAGCCTCGCACGATGAGACGTGCTTTGGCACGTGGAGTGCCGTCCGGGTTCCTGGACCACTTGAGCAAGATCCTGGAAGACAGTGTTCGGCCAGGATCAGCCTCCTGCACAGTCTGGAAGGTCCAGACATGGTGGCCAAAGAAGCTCTTCAGCTCCTTGATCTTGGCCTCCTTGAACATGGCTCTCTCCTGAGGTCCGAGAAGACGCTCATTGACATCGGACTTGTTCTTCTTGAACTTCTTCATCTTTGCAGCCTTCTGCTCTTTTCCTTGTTGTTTGGCACTGGTGAAGGCCTGATGAGAGCCGCTGTACATGGCGAGCTCCTTCCGAGTCTCTCCATTGATCTGGTAGATCGTGGCGCCAGTCCAGGAGGTAGATACATCAGGAGGTGAAGCACTGTCTGTGCCATCATCCGTGAAGAGTCTGCTCTTGCCATGGGCCCCATGGACCAGGGTCACTCGGATCTTGTCCAGCTTGTCACAGTTCACGGGACAGTCCTTTGGCAGTTGGTGTAGTGGGAGTCGACCTCTGCGTGGGACCAGATGATGTCGGATCAGGCATCCCGCACGCACCTCCCAGTAGTCGGTGTTGCGTTCGGAGAGTTGAAGAAATCCTTGTTCATCAACATGCCAGCCACTGGGAAGCAGCGTTGTGTCAATGTCATCAATGTAGAAGACCTGACCAGTGAGAGCATCGTCGGTGCTTGAGGTTGGTCTGGAGACCGGATACGGTTCAACTGCTTCGGTGGTGCGATGTCGTACTGGTGCAAAGCTCAGCGTCTCTTGTTTGTTGAAGCGAGCACGTCGTTCTTCAAATGTTTCTGCGTGAGCTGGTGATTGATAGAGTGTCGCCGTCTGTGGATCCAGCGGTGGTGGTGCATGAGGTGTCGCAGCCGTAGACTGCGCTGGAGGTTCCTCGCTTGGTTCGGAGAGCGAAACCAGAGAACTTGGCACGCGAGGAAGCCCGACCTCTGCTGTAGCTTGTGGTTGTGTGTCTGCTGCTGCCGTGTCTGCCGCTGCCGGAACGACTGCCGCTGCCGCTGTTGGTGTGGCTGCCGCTGACGGAGGTGATGAGGGAGTATATTCTTCCATACCCTCGTCGGGCATAGTTGTGGTCACAGGTGCAGGTGGCAACAGTCTGGGTCTTTGTCGAGGTGGTGACATCTCATGATCGGAGTCGTCCATCAACTCACCATCGGTGGATTGGGCATGTTCGTCCACCTCTACATCCATCAGCTCCTGGCGGTTCAGGCGGTGGAGATCATAGAATCTTGTCACGCCTCTGGACTTGAGAGATCTCACGGTGTTCAAGGCCTTCTGGACGTCAGCGAGGATGTGCCCAGTGTTCTTGACATCCGCTCGGATGTGATGAGGGGCACAGCGAATCAGCTGTGACTTGTAAGCCAGCCAGTAGACGTTGACCCTTTGATCGTCACCCTCCTTCTTATCTTGCTGGTGCTCAGCTGGGAGCAAAAGAGCAAAGGGATATAGAGAACATGAATGGTGAAAAACATCAACTGCGCTGCAACAAAAAAGGATACATACATGGAGCTTGAAAGTTCCCAACGCCTAAGTTTAAGCGCTGAACCAGTACCGTGCCTGGAGATGAATCACTATATCATATCTCTGGTGTGGGGGTGAGGAATAGACCAAATTTATTTTTTCACCATAAGTTTTAAGCATTGAAAGCCCATGTTCTTGAGGATCTTTGGAAAGTTCCCAATGCCTAAGTTTAAGTACCATGCCTGGAGTATCTAGCAGCATCACTATATGATATCTCTGGTGTAGGCATGAGGAAAGGAGTATATAGTCCATTCATATCCAAACACCAACAAAGACCTCTCTCTCCCAAAGCAGCTCCAAACACATCAGCTGCTTAACTCCACTCCCAAAGGGGATGACAAACCAAGGATTTGAGTTGCTCAAAGGTTTTAAGTTGTTCAAGAGTTCAACATGACTCACCTTCCTCCCAAAAGAGATGGCAAGCCCAGGGTAAAAAAAGATGACGAGCCAAGGATTCAAAAAAATGATGCTAGAGATCTATGGCCCATGGTACCCTAAAGAAACAGAGAAAGCCTGATTTAAAAAAGGATTAAAAACATCAAACAATTATTTCAATCATGTAAAAAAGGATGATTTTGATGCAAAGAACTCCACAGGAAACATGTGCCTGCACACAATGCATACTTGCATATCCAAACCTTGTACCACACCTTGTACCAAAAAAGATCCAACATGTGCACATGGAGATGTCACAGTGTTTGATCATATGCCTGGGCGTTGTGATAGCGCTGGGATCTTTTGCTGCATTCAACCTCATTATGT